TATATATGTGTGTGTGTGTTTGTGTGTGTACATATATACATATGTATACACACACACACACACACACACACACACACACACACAAATATATATATATATATATATATATATATATATATATATATATATATATATATATATATATATATATATATATATATGTATATATATATATATACATATATATATATATATATATATATATATATATATATATATATATATATATATATATATATATATATACATATATGTGTGTGTGTGTGTATATATATATATATATATATATATATATATATATATATATATATATATATATATATATATGAGTAAAATATTATCCATCCCGAAATATTTCATCATCCATTCCAGCGCCTTGAATGGCGCCGCTTGCCTGAGTGAGCGCCCGTGCGCTTAGCACGAGCCACGTGGCCGCCAATCCCCACATCGATAAACAAAATGAAATGCAAACGAATGCACTCTTCTCATGACTGCCTTCAGAATGCAAGTTGATCTTACAACATCAACCATTTCACCATTCTTGCGACCGACTAACCATCATTCTTCCAGACCCTGTTCGCAGGTGACGTCACGGCGGAAGAAGCCCCAGCAGCGCCTTCGGGATCACGTTCGCCTCCGTCTTCGCCTGACCTCTTCCGCCGCCTTGCATCGCGCCCGGTCACACCTACGCAGGCCGCCGCTCACACGCCTTTTCGGCGCATGACTCATTTCCTCCGCTTACGTGATGCATGCGCTTCCCCAAGGATCAGGCAACCTATTCGTGGGCCTGGCATGGCTGTGTGCCTTGGAACTGAATATTTGTGTGTGTGTGGGGGGAGATATCTGTTTGTTTGACTCTCTCTTTCATGCATGTACACAGAATACAAGCGTGTGTGTGTGTGGTTCCCTGCTTTTTATAAACGATATCACAAATGTGAGGAAAATGCAAACCTCCTTCGGTCTTGATCTGGCTTAACCTTACCTCAGTCCTCCGCCCACCGGCCAGGGAGGAATAACTTCAGTTCGCTTGCTCTCTTTCTTTATCTATCTATCTATGTTTGTTTGTCTGGCAATATCTCTACTATATATTTTTTTAGTAGCTTAACTACCTTCCTATCTCTCGAGGTTGTCTGTCTATACATGCCAGTCTGTCTCTTTAACCATCTCTCCCGAGCTCTCCATATTCACTGACACGCTCTTTAGTCACATTTCTTACTCACCCTTCTCCTTCCTCTCCCATTCCTCTTCTATCACCTTTTTATTACTCACTCATACTTTTTCTTGCCATTTTTCTTTCTCCTGCTTCGCTTTCCGGAATATGTATAAAGTGTTTCTCATATGACCAGCTGACCTTTTGTGGCTTTAGACTGTACACTTGCTATGCAAATTTACTGAACGGTGCATTTACACAGTAATAAGAGGACAACGAGGTAAATGCGACTCCTTATCCGTATGCTTGTAATTACTAAAGAAGAAAATCTAAACATAGTAATATGGTATTTCCTAATACTGTTGGAAATACTTGCATGGTCCACCTACTACGAATAGTGTGTACCAGTGCTTATGATAGATATCATGAACAATATCACAAATAACTAAATTAAGTAAATTTCAATACAAAAGAATCAAGCCTGCGTGACAGGTTTGGATGTGCATTTGTTTCCACGTATTTCTTGGTATGGATCAGTTGACCATTTGATTCGACCTTGTATTTCTCCTGCGTTTCAAGAACCGGTATATGTATATGACAAAAAGCTGGAAATGGAAATCAGAAGGGTGTACATAAACCAAACTTTCCGTATATAACAGAAACCTGACATATCATTCCCTGTATTTTTTGTATTGGTGTGCAAATCAGTAAGGGATTTACTGTTTCCGCTTCCCTCGTTTCAGGCGTTATGCATCATTAACAAATTTGGCACAAGCGTCTAGTGATCAGATATAAGGTAAAGTAATGCTGCGGGCGCTGCGTGTACCTGCATATCAGGAATCTACTACTAACACAAACACATTGCATAAGTGGTTCGTGAAAGCTGCCAGACACTTGGAATGCAGTTTCAACAGTGTTGGAAAGAAACGGAAGCCCCACAGGTGTCCTCACGTAGTAGTCTTAAGCAAAACAAAACAAGAGTTCATCAGAAATAATCATACAATATGACAGTTCAAGTTGCATGCAAATTGATGATCTTTTAAGAACAGTATTCGTTCGATGCGAAGTGCAAAAGTAATGAGGTTGATCTGGCTTGTTAGGATATCATAGTTCAGATGAACTCAAAACTATCAATAGCTTTCGCGGCTGCCAGTATATCTGAACAAAAAAAGGCTTGCATCAGTGATAACGATAAAGCTAACATGAACGACAACAAATGAAAAATAATAACCGCAATATGTTATTTGCTTT